GCAAGATAAGCACTCTATCAACTGAGCTATATCCCTAGCCCCAAGAGGTTTTTTTTTTTTTAACTACCATATAGAAATAAACATCATTAACATGAAATACACTGATAAAAATATTGGACAAACTTGATGGCTTAATATAATACAAATATGCCACCTTACGTTTCTATAGGCCAAAAGTCTGATACGAGTCTCCCTGGGTTAAAAACAAAGTGTCTTCAGGGCTATCTAGAGTCATCACGGGTGTATCCATTTCCTCACTTTTTCCAAGACTTCAGGAGCCTCCTTCTTGGGACCCCTTCCTCTAATTTCAAAGATAGGAAAATAATATCTCTGTGGCCCTGACTCCTACAAAACATCTACAAAACAGATGCCCCTCTTTTTTCTTAAGACTCATTTTATTATATTGGGCCCATAATTTGCCTATCCCAGGGTCCTAAACCTTGATCACATCTGCCCTGGAAGATAACATAGTCACAGATTCTGGGAATTAGGACATGGACAATTTGGGGGGATCATTATTCTGCCTACCAGATATATACACAGAGTGCTTTCATAAAAAAAGGCAATATTAAATTTTTGTTATTTTTAAAGAGTTTCGTTTCACTCTAAATTAACAGATTTCAGAATTAAGTATTGCCGAGAAACCCTCTACAGTCCTGCCATAGTGTGCTAAGTGGCAGATGTAATTACAGAAAGCTAAGAGGCTGGCGTCAAGGGCCAAAAATCTGCATAGCAACAAAACAGGTGCCGTGCAAAAATCTATGTAGTGTTAAAATCAACATAAGTGGGATGTCTTTTTTTTTTTTTGGAAATATCAACTAATTTATTTAAATCCATATTCTGTCTTATCTCTAGGCCCTATCATCCCCCTGACACCACTGCCAAAAACAAGCTGTAAGTCAATCTAATTTTCAGGTTTTGAGTTTTCAGCATGTAGACCTGGCAGGAATGAAAAGGAGTCAGGACATATACAATGTCTGAGCGACAGCCTTGTTAGGGGTCTCATGATTGGATATGAAGTGTCCTCCAAAGACCTGTGTTGAAGTTTTGTTCCCCAGTGCAGCCACATTCAGAGGTGGGGCTTTGGGAAGTGGTAGGATCATGAGAGTTCTGACCTCATCAGTGGATTAATCCAGTAGCTGAATGGACTCTGAGAGGTGGTGGAAATTATAGGCAAGTGGGGCATGTTGGAGGAAGTAGGTCACTTGGGATGTGCCCTTGGGGACAATATTTTGTCCCTGACCCTGTTCTCTCCCCCTCCCTTCCTCTTTCTCTCAGCTTCCTGGCGGCCATGAGTTGAGCAGCATTCCTTCACAACGCCCTTCTACCATATTTCTGTCTTGGAGCCAGCCCGTCGTGGTCCATAATAAAGCCTTTCTCCTTTAAGTTGTTTACATTGGATATTTTGGGCATGGTTATGAAAAGCTGACAAATCCAAGTCACTTCTTCCTCCCTTTCATCTTCTGAGTCCACGCTAACATGAGGTGTGGAAGCCCTGGGGCTGTGTGGTAAGGCCTACTAGGAGACCATCAAAGATCCTATCAACCAAGCTCCAGCTGAGCTCCCAGCAGGAAGCCAGGGAGGTCAGCTGAGACATCTGGAACCTCAATTTCATATAAAACAGAAGAACTAGTGGTGAGCCTACCATATTGTGAGAAATTATATATTGTTGATTTATATCACTGTTTTGGATGTGATATAATTAATAAGCAAATGAAACAGTATGAAGATGCTGGGGGAAACCAAGTCTTCAAGGAACGTAGAGAAGAAATACAGTAATTCCACATCACCACCACCCCCCTCCCCAAACCTGGAGGCCTTGACACATCTGCTAGCCTAGCCCACCTTCCATGGCCTTCACTTTTTTAAAGCTGACACTTTGGGTCATGATCCGTCCTAGGCAAAAATCCTTGTATGCTCCACCACCTTCCTGAAATGTCCTTTTACTATTTTGATGTTCTAAAGCCACTGCCCCTTACAGAGTCCTGAAGGGAAAGGTGTTCAACTCTCCAAACGCCTTCACACCCCACAGTGGTTTTGGAGGTGAGACAAGTGTTCTGCATGCCCCTTACAGCAACTCTAGAGACTTCCCTTTCCCCTCTCAAGTTCTGATGTCCTCAGATTGCACCACGGTGGCTGTCCTGCCTGGAACCCTGGGGATGATATGGAGTAGAGCTCCTCTGCCTTGGCACTCTCTTAAGTGCTGTGCCCATCAGAATCCTTGGTCAGTTGGTGAGCACAAAAGCCTCTTCCAATACCTGGCCCTCCCTTCCCTGCCTTCCTCCCTCTGGAGATCTGTGCTCCACCTCCCCTGGCTTCTCCCTCCAACATCCCTGCCTCCTGCCATCCCTAGACAATCAGTCCTCCTCAATCCCTTTCTGACTTGTGCTGATGTGGACATAGGGCAGAGAGCAAGTTGGGCAGGAAGATGGTCGATCTGGCTTTGGACATGCTGAATGTGAAGATTCTGTTCCGTCCAAATGGGTGACATGGAGTAGGTACATCCAGAGGGGGACAGAGATTAGAAAATATTTGTACCCACATTGCAGCTGGATCCAGGTAACACAGGTGACCCAGGGACAGTTTTCAGAGTGACAAGAACGGATGTCAAAGGATGAAACCTGGAGGGAGGAGGGGCGGGTGAGAAAGGACTAAAGTGGACAGAAAATTGTGTTTGTAAGGTGGGTGATAAGAAATAACACTTAATGCCATGAGAGAATGGTCCTACAGAGGCCCAAGGAAGCAAATGCTCACAGCGACAAAAGGTCTAAGAAATGTAGATAGATAGACATTTATGCGACCTGGAGGTGCCTAGGATGAGCCACAGAGTCCCCCTCTTCGGCCAATCTTAGCCAATTATCTCCAGACCTCCCTCCTTTGGGTGGCTATTTGAAAGTATGTGGTCTGAAGATGTAGAACCTGGGAGTGAAGAAGTTAAGGTGGGGACCTCACTTGCATGTGTGCAGTTCTTTTCTCCAATTTGGAACATTTTTCATGAGCACTCCTTACATTAGTAGCTGACATTGTTTTAAACATGGTTAGGTAAGGAAGTATTATGGGATGAATTGTGCCCCCTGCCCTTATGTTGTGTCCCTAACCCCCAGTACCTCCGAATGTGACTGGATTTGAAGATAGCATCTTTAAAAGGTCATTATGTTAAAGAGGACATTAGAGCGGGGCCCTAACCCAACATGCCTAGTGTTCATGTAAGAATAGGGAAGGATGCCAGGGCTCTGGGTGCACGAGAGGAGGTGTGCAAGGACACAGCCAGAAGGTGGCCATCTGAAAACCAGGAGAGAAGCCTCAGGAGAAGCCAGTCCTGCCAACATCTTCATCTTGGATCTCTAGCCCTTCAGAGCTGCTAGGTGATAAATCTCTGGTGTCTAAACCACCGGATGTGTGGTATTTTGTCATGGCAGCCCTAGAAAACCAATTTTATTAGGAAATAGAAGTTCCAGTCACATCTGCTTGGCTGTTTGTGGGTACGGGAGGCGGGAGAGGGTGTGGGTGGGGGGTACATGTGCACTTAGAGGTAGGTCTGGTGGTGCTCTCTCACACCAAAGGGGGCAGCAGTAGGAGGTGAGGTATGAGGCCAGGAAGACAGCAAAGCAATCAGATTATGTGGGTGAGTTCAAGTACACCTCTGCTGAAAAACATTTTTAAAGTTATAATATTTTGGTTTGATAAACCACTGGGAAAACAGAAAACATAAGCATTAAATTAACTGAGAACATTTTAAGTGACACTCATCTTCTTACCTCTTCAACAAGGCGAACAAAGAACAAATGACTTAAATTTGAAGTGCCAGGCATCCGAGTTTTGATGATATTCTACAGAGGCTATAAAGGTAAAAGCATGAATAACTAAATGGTGGGTGTTATTCGAGGAGGGTCAAGGAGAGGAAGGGTTGGAAGGGCCGAGGACACTTCCAGCCTCATCTCCCTGCCTCCTACCTGCTGTTATGTCAGTACCTCCTGTAAATGTGGCACGAAGAGCCCTTGCCCCCAGCTTCAGTCTTATAAGATGCTAAGCTGGGTGTGTGTGTGTGGTGGGGGGTGTGCCTGTAATCCCAGCTATTTGGGAGGCTGAGGCAGGAGGATTGCAAATTTGAAGCCCTTCTGGTTAACTCAGCAAGACCCTGTCTCAAAATATTTTTAAAGGGCTGGAGATGTAAATCAGAGGCAACAAGGATCCAGGGTTTAATCTCCATTACTACAAGGAAAATAAACAAACAAAAAGATACTGAGCTCTGTACGCCCAGTCAAACTTCTCACTGCTCAGTGACACAGGTTAAAGAGCTGTGTCTCCCAGAACCCATTCATCGGTTGACCACACCCTCCAGTAACTGGGACCCTGGAATTATCTACCCCAAAATCCCAAGTACACTTTCAGCATCTCTGTTTCTCTCCAGGGTCTATCTTTTGGGAGGGCCAGGTAGACTTTTAGTTTATAGGCTGGGGCAGAGGCTCAAACCGCTGCAGCTGGAACACAATGTGAAGCTAAGATATCCACACACTGTAAGTCATGGGTGAGTAGAGAAGAGACTGGGTGATAAGTTAGGGGCACAGAGCTGGTTCTCTTTGTAGGTTGGCTTTTTGCATTTAATATTGAATAATCTGAGCCCTGAACTCAAACCTTAATAATAACTTAAGTTGTTATTAAGGTAGAAAAATAGAACATATTTTATTTGAGTGTGTGTCTTGATTTATAGCTTTAAATGTTGGACATATAGTATGTGGACCTATTAATCAGTCAGCTTTCTGTCACTGTGACAAAATACTTAAGATAAACAGCTTAAAAGAGGAAAGGTTCATTTTGACTCATGGTTTCAGAGAGTTCAGTCCATGGTAACTTGGCCATGCTGCTTTGAGCCTATGGTGGCTGGGCACATCATAGCAGAAGCACATGGAAAAGGAACTCAGTTGACCTCATGGCAGCCCTTCAAGGTCATCCCTTAATAACCTAATTTAGCCACCAACTCTTGGTGAAACAACAACTCATTTAGGGTCAAACCTAAAAGATCTATTTATTCATTTTCCCTGGATTTTAGATCATTATGCTCAAACTTGTCATTTCTTCCCTAGAGCACTCTATGATGATATTCTCAACTAACGGATGATAAATTAATATTGGTATTTTCAATATTTTCCCTTTGTTTACACATTAGAAGAGGAAAAATGATGGATGTCCTTTTGTTATTAACTCAATGACGTGGCATTTTTGTTCTTGTTTTCTATTTTTCCAATACTCTGTCAAGCCACGCTGTAACTTTTCTCCCCTTCCAATCCTAATTCCACGATGATTGTGCTTAAATGGAAACATCCATCTTCATTTCAATTAATTCGGAAGCATTCAGACACTGGCAATACACAGGGTTCCTTTCTTGTCTGCTTCTTTTCCAATTTTATGTGCAGTGACTGAGTCTGGTCAGCAGATGGCAGCGGACATCCTGTAAGAAATTATTTAGTTGGTGTTAAACAGAAAGAAAAAGGGGAATAAATTCAGGACAGAAAGAAAGAAAGAAAATGCAGGCACATGGAGAAGTAGGATACTGCCTTTCTTGCAGGACTGGGGAATGCACGCTTCTTATAGGATCTATTTCTTGTTTCATGAGCTCCTTTCTACCCAATCCTACTCAACTCATCCAGGAGGATTTGTTTACTGTGAGGTGTTTTCATTCATGAGATGTGCAGAGTGGAGCATTTGGGGTGGGGGTGGGCAGGGCTTGAGGCTGGGGTATCTTGGAACACAGAAGATTTCCCTGACTCTTGGTCTCCCAGGAAGGGCTGGGCTGGCTGAGTGGCTCTGTGCCCCTCTGAATGTCCCACTCTGACCTACTTTCCAACTGCGGCAGCTTTTCCGGTCCTCCTCCTGCTCTGTATGCACCATGCATCCCCGTCTGGCTCCTAGTTCCAGAACCCAGACCTCCTCCAGGCAGCCCCCGCATGCGAGGAGACAGCCAATTTAACCTGCTAGTCCTCATCTCTCTTCTTATCTGGCGGTTGCTATGGCAACCTCCAAGGCTCCTCTGGCGTTCTCACTGACTGACCAGGCCTGGAAAACCATTCTGGAATTGACAGGGCTATACTGGGGGCTATTGGGGGAGGGTGGTTAATGGAAGAGCAGTTTGACCCAGTTCCAATGCTGCTCAATTAAATAGGAGGGACTGAGGAGTTGTTGAATAGAAAGGGGTCCCTGTTACCAGAAAGACCAGGGGACTTCCCAGGTGAAGGGCAATGATCCCTTCCTGCATTACTTCTTCATCTTCTCACAAGAAGAGCTCCCCATTATAATTAGTGGGGTGATTCTTCAATACAGTGGGGGAATTTCAGAAAATTCTCTATGATCTAATAAACACATGATATTAGTTTATTTTCCTTCCTGAAAAGAAGAAAACAAAACAAAATGCATTTCTCACTGGGAAATGTGAGGTAAATATCCCTGACAATTTAGATCTAAATTTTACCAGCACTGCATGTATTGATCCCTCCAAATTCCAAAGGCTATTGTGAGAGGCAGCTTCTAAGATGCCAGCTCCTTCTCTGGGCATCCCTACCCCAGTGTCATTCTTTTCCTTTCAGCATGGCCTGGATGTATCGATTTGCTTCTAATGAACCGAGCTGCAGAAATGACAGGATGTCACTTCTGAAATAAGGTGGAGCAAGACTGTGTGTCTAGGAAGCTCTCTGATGCTGTGCCACCAGCCTCCCAGACTGCCATGTCATGAGGACAGGCAGGCAGCTGTAGAGAGGCCCATGCAGCAAAAACTAAGGCCTGCTCACAGCCATGAGAGAAAGGCTGGAAGTGGATATTCTCGATCCAGGTTCACCTGGGATGAGCCAGCCTCATGAGAGAATCAGCCAAATTGCACCTCGAGTCTTGATCCCCAGGAACTGTCAGGAAAGCACCGTATTTTGGAGGATTTGTCACATAATGATAGGTGACTAACACAGCCGTTTTGTTTTTCTCTTTCTTGGTTTGAGCTGGTGTGACAAGAGTGTGCTCTTATCCTCCATCTGGTGACACTTAGTTCCAGGCAAGTGCCTTAAGGAAGTTACCAACCCTCTCCAAGCCTGTTTCCTCATCTAGTAAAAAGAAATTAAGGATCAGATGAGTTAATACATCTGTCCTTTAGTGTCTGCTGGGGATTGCTTCCAGAACCCCCTTGAATACCAACATCTGTGGATGCTCAAGTCCCTTATACAAACTGGCATAATATTTCCATATAACATACATATACCCCAATATACTTTAAATCATCTCTAGATTGCTTATAATACCTAATATAATTTAGATGTTATATAAATACTTGTCATACAATATTGGTTATGGAATAATGACAGGAAAAAATCTGTATATATTCAGTACAGGTACTAGTTGGAAGGGGAACAGCAGGGGCAATACCAGGGATTGAACTCAGGGACACTCAACCACTGAGCCATATCCCCAGCCCTATTTTGTATTTTATTTAGAGGCAGGATCTCATTGAGTTTTTTATTTAGAGGCAGGATCTCATTGAGTTGCTTAGCACCTCGTTTTTGCTGAGGCTGGCTTTGAACTGGCAATCCTCCTGCCTCAGCTTCCCGAGCCACTGGGATTACAGGATTGTGCCACCATGCCCAGTTTACAGATGTAATTAAAAAAATTTTTTAATTTAATATTTGGAATCCATGAATGCAGGACCCATGGAGGACAAGTATTCTTGTAAAGGACTTAGGACATATGTAACTCAAAAAAAGGCTTAATAAAATATTATCATTATTATTGATCATAAATTATTCAGTTTTCTATGCAACTCTTTTCTTCTAAGTTTATATCTGTAATTTTCCAGTAACTGATTTTCTCCCCCACTAAACTGGCAAAAACCTAGCAATTGGATATATGCTGAAGCATAACTGTTCAGATGTAACCTAAGTGGCTTGTAAAGATGCTATGATCTCATATCTCTGTAGCTCTGTCAATTCTGTCTTGAAACTTCAGAGGTCTAAGCTGCACAGACTATGTCCAAAGAATTTCAGACCCAGGGTATCCAGGAGGAAATACAACTATCAAGGAGAAATTTTGTGGACAGTCCATAATTTTTAGGAATAGACAAGACAAATATACCTCTGATTGACTTGAAGTGAATAGAAGAGGGAGTCATAAGGCCATAAAGATGGACCAATAGACAAGCCTTGGAATGTAGGTGGGGCACTCTGTGCAATAACACCCTGTATTTAGCATCATGCCCTACTGCTGCACTTGGGCTCAAAATAGGAAATTACAAGGTCATCCCTGGGGGGCGGGGGGGAAGCAGTGTGGATGTGTGAGCCGAGTTCAGGGAAGCAAGGGCACTTGTGTTGAGAAGTTGATGAGACCTCTTTCAGGATGCCAGTTCTAGATTGTCAAAACTGATGTCAACAAGGGCAGTGGCTGTATCTGCTCGCTACTGGTCTCACTTAGAAAATGCCTAATGACTAAGGGATGTAATCAAGTTCATTCCCTCCCAAGCTAATAAATCCTAACATACCAGGTGTCCACTATAGGCTCAAGTTAGGGAATTTGCTGCTAGTGGCAGTGATGTATTAAAAAATGTTTATCGAATGAGTAAAGTGTAGCAACTAACTGCTTCTATAAGGTAGGTGCTATTAGAATCATTTTTCCAGTTGAATAAAAGTAAAATGTAAGGAAGTTGCATCATTTGCCCAAACAGACATAAGTAGTTCAGGGGCAGAACTGGAACACAAAATTCACCAGATGATCAATGGAATCTGCTTTCTTATTTTCTAGAGGAGACAGACTCTTGGGTCACCCTCATTTTGATTGGAAGCCCAAGTTCTGCTGCATTGCAGAAACTTAATCTCAGTCAAAAACACATGACATTGTTCTATTTCTGATGGCTGTATCTTAGTTTATTGGGGGAACTTAAGCAATGTTTTGGGATATTTTGTCAGTGCAGAATAGGGTCATTGGTCATCAAACCACACAAGCTTTTGCTACTTTGTTCTGACAAATTGTGCTCAGGTCTGACTTCCCCCAAGGTCCCTCAGGTATATAGGAAACACTAGTCAACGCCACAGGCTGGTGTTTGGGAGACTCTATGAGACCATCACCATCACCCTGCCCCCACATGGCATCGCTTAGGCTTAGTCTAGATCTGCCCCTTCCTCAGTTTTCTAGTTGCCAAAGACCAAGGGGAAATAAGGCTTTTAAGACCTTATCCCACTATGCCCAATTGGCTAGACTGAAGCAGCTGGGGTGGATCAGAATAGCATGCAGGTGGCCGCCAGGAGCTAGGCCCTGCATATTTTCATGGCTGCTGTCTACTCACCTCACCCCAGAAGCACTAAGGAAGGGCCAACCACTACCTGGACCTTCGTTTATACCCCAATAACAAACAGAGCTTCCTCAAGAGGCCCTTCAGCAAGGTTTTGTTTTAGAAAATCCAGGCTCCTAGCTGGTTCAAAGGAGATTTTGCTGAAAGTCTTTCCTGTGTATACTTTTTTTCCTGAAGATTATGAGTACTCTGGCACTTTGAGGATGTTCCTGTAGCATCATAATCATCACTATCATCACCACCATTGATGACCTGCCTCCTCTGTGCCTCACTGTGTTGTGTGATTTGCATACATCATCTCTAGCTACATGTTCTGAGGTCAGCAACTGGTGGCCCAATGGCAGGATAAACCTCTCAGAACAGGCCATGACTAGCTCCTAGTGGTCCCCTCCCAGCTCATGTCATGCATTTAGGTTGCTGCTAGGCATGCCCAGGTACAGATCTTACTTGATATGCACAGTATATCTATTTGCAAGTAGTTCTGATGCATCTCTGCTCAAGAATGGACTGCAAACAAGAGTCTTTAAAATTCACTGAAGCACATGGAATCTAGAACCATGGGGCTGGTCACCCTGATTCTCAAAATTGTTCTGTCCCCTCACCAGCCAATGATAACTTAATCTTCTTCCTTCTCCTGGATGCTGTCTGTCTCCAGTTGGTGGAATTTGTGGTAGACTCTTCTCAAACTGTCACGCCTCCCCAATATCCAAAAACAAAACAACCATGAAGATCCTCAGCTTTATTTGTGCCTAATCTCTTATCCTAAAGTTTTGAAAATAGAAAAGGAAAAAACAAAAAGAGCCGGATAAAGTATTTTCTAAATGAGGTAATTCATGTAGACACTGACAGCCATTAATGCATCATTATGAATTAATTTACCAAATTAATCAATCAATTTGGTCCAATAATCAGATCAAGCAGCTAGCAAGTCAGTCTGCTTTGGTTTGATTAATTAGATGACTAGAAAGATCGGAGGATTAGATCAGATTAATCAAATGCTTGTTCTGAACATTCACAGAACAGCATGTAAAAGCCCTTCACAGTGCTTTGTGAGCCTAGCTGTGTGTGCTTGGGGCATTGGGTTAGTGACAGGGGGCTGTCTGGGATCCTGGGCTCTGTTCCTTGCTTAGGGTTTAGAAGTCCTGCAATTTCAGACTTAGGACAAAGCAGCCAAGTTTCTGGATAGCTGTATTAGTTTCTTGTGACTGCTGTAACAAATAAATGCAGCTTTAATAGCTTAAAACAACACAAATGTATCTTTGCATTTCTGGAGGTCAGAAATGGGTCCAATGGGCCTAAACTCCTGGTGTTGGCACAGCCACATTCCTTGTGGAGGTTCCTGGGGAGAATCCATTCCTTGCCTTTTCTACCATCTACAAGCCACCTGCATTCTTTGGTTCTTGGCTTCATCACGCTGCTGTGCGTTTCCATCATAAATCTCATCTCTTTAACCTTTCTGCCTCTCTTTTTCACCTATAGGGACTCTTGTCAGCACATTGGGTTGACCCAGAGAGTCCAGGGTAATCTCCCCATCTCAGGAAACTTGGCTTAGTCCTCTCTGCAAAATCTCTTTTGCTATGTAAAGGAACATATTGACAGGTTCCAGGATTAGGATGTGGACATCTTTGGAGGTTCATTTTCCTGCCTTTTACAACATCCAAAGGCCATTGCCAGATTTTCAGTCAGAAGCCATGACGGCATATCTGGCCCCTTGCTCAGGGACACTGAAAGACCTTGTGGGATAAAACCACACATCCTTGATTCTACCCTACCTCCTAAAGTTCTTAAAGTAGTCCTTCTGCACTAGGAAAAGGCTTCCAGAAAATTCCTGCTACCTTAAAGAAATCTATATCCTGGGGTATCAATAACATGCTTCCCTTAATACCTTTCACCTACAGAATGTGGTAGGTTGGCTTGTCAAATTATCTATGTTTAAGAGGTGCTATAATTAATCACAGGCTTTAAGGAGATGCAGTGATAATTCTCAGCTTGGAACTCTAGGCCCAGCTTTAGACTTCACAAAAGACAAAACTCATTCATCTTTTGTTACTTTTGCCATAAAATGTTAGCTAGGGATAGGGTCCAACAATATTGAAGGGACAGGGTCCAGCTATATTGAAGTGTGTGTGTGTGTGTGTGTGTGTGTGTGTGTGTGTG